AAAGTAGAGTTGGAAAAGATCATTTCATTCTGTCCTCTCTCTAATCCAACACACTCCCATCATTTTATTTTAGAAGTTTATCACCAATTTGCACACATGAAATTTCACAACTCCTCTCTCTTTTGGTTTCCTTTTTGGCACCCCCACCCCCGTTAATTACAACTAAATGTTTTTTCACCTCTAGTAGAAAAATGAGCTGAGCAGGGAACTAAAGGAACACCCAAGCTGACACTCTAAATCTAATTTAACACCATGGCATTAATTCTGATTTTCTGAGCCAAGAAAATCAGCAATGAATATCAATGTATTTTCTTCGTCCTTATAAAAAAAATTGAATAGATTTTAAAAAATGACCTCAGGGTCTCCCCTGGCCTCTCAACAGGGAATGTAGCAAGACAGCGACCACCCGCGATGCGGCACAGCGCACTGTGCAATGAAAGGAGCGTCCACCTCTGAGTAAAGATGGGGGGTGTTTCTGAATTCCTGCACTTTTAAAAATTAACTGCAGGCCTTCGTACAATAAAAAACCCAATTGCTCCTTTTTGTTAATGAATTCAGGCATGATGTCAGAGCATACCTAACTGGGAGGCCTGTACATTGTAACTAAACGAATTCAGTTTGAAGGTCCCGGTGGATAGAGAATCACAGATTCAGTTCTTAGTAAAGATTATGGCACTATTGTTTCCTGCTGAACTTTCCATCTTTTCCCAGAAGAGGGCACCAGTGTAATTCCGTTTCCAGCTGTGGAGCCATCCTGCAGGACTCACCTGCTCTTTTGCAAATCGGAAGAGAACCAGACCAGGAGATGGAGGGAGAAGTGGGAAGGGGGGATGTACAAAGATTTAGATGTGTTAGATACATGTACAAACTCCCCACAATGACTGCAAAGCAACATGTACGGCTAACATAGATTAATAAAAAATAAAAATTGAAAGAAAAAATAAAAGTCCGATTTTAAAACAAAACAACACACAACCACACACACAAACACAGACACATTGTCAGGCAAAAGATACACTGAGATGACAAGGTAAAAGCAATTTATTACAGTATGACTGGGTCCTATTTTTAAGTGGATCCGATTGTATTTTTACTGTGGAAATTTATCAAAAGTAATTGTACAAATAGTTTCTTCAAGCCATCAGCGTAAATAATATTTGAACTGAATTAGCAAACATACTTTGTGCAGACTTTGTAGGAATATCATTCTCAGAGCAAAAATAATATAATAGAATAAAAACTTCGCCCACCCTCATTGGGAAGCCTCAGACTACTTCAAGGTTCAACACAGACCAGAGTGTTCTACAATGACATTCACTTCTTTGCCTCAGAGAACACCCATCAGCCCGGCCTCTAACCCCTTCTCTGCAATCACACACCATACCCTGAAACAGATACTTATACTGCCTTTGGCTGACCCTAGTTTATTTTTCCTTTTTTTCAAAGAACTTTACTTTTCTCTCCAACCAGATTACAACTTCCCTTACAACAAATACTTTTATACATTTTCATCTTTCATAATGCCTAATACAATATGGAAATTATACGCATTAATAAATATAAATTATTTGAATGACAGGATAATATAGTTCTTGGCATAATTTGATTTATATTCTCTATGCTTACACTAACTCACTGTGACTGTGGATAGAACCTGCAACATGAATTCTTGAATACATTTCAACTTTCCTTCAAAACACATGCGTAACTTCTCCTACAGCAGCAGTGCTGAATCTGTGGCACATGGCAGGCTGCATGTTATCACTCAAAGCTCTAAAAGTATAACCATCACTGTTCTGGAGGTGATTCAAATACAGTGAACTTAACCTTTTTGAGCGAGGGACCCAGGTAGGAATCTCTTGAAAGACAATGAAGTTCTCCTGAGAGTATCATCCATATGTACTTACAGTATAACATGTTGCAAATAATTTCAGGAGATGAAAGAACTCTCCCCAAACCCTCTAATTCCCAGTCTAGGCGATTTCAAACTTTCCTTTAGGCCTAAGACTCTAAGATTGAAATTCAAGATGTTACCCATATTTACCTAGAAAGTATACTAGTTATTTCCCTTAAGGGTTCCCAATATTTTCTGTTGAATCCCTAGATTGCAGTTTCTCAGGGACCAATTACATGAAGCCTAAATTAATCCTAACATCACTACCTGGTGGCCTTGGCTAACTTCCAGGCTCAATCATTACTGGTAATGTAAGGAATTGGTGATGTTGCTAAACAGAATCATCTCCCAGAAGAGACTGCAAATCATTATATGTCTTTCTTGCTGGCCATAAATCAAGTCATATTTGCACATTTTAATTTCCTTTATAAAAGCAGAAGTGTAGTGCCAAGAAAGAAAAAGAAAAAAGTTTCCCAATAGCTTCCACTTGAAAGAAACACAAACAAGTGTAACTTTGTATTAGGTACTCACTATGTGTTCAATACAATACCATGGCAGGCACTTTCAAGGAGTCTACTTAATGCGGGAACCACCAAATCAGCAATAAAAGATATGATAGCGTCTCGTGCTGATGGAACTGAAACTGAGCTGACACAGAGCTTGTGCAGTTGGCACAGAGCTGGTTAGGAATTGTGCCTTTGCTTCAAACATGTATACTTCCAATTCCAATACTTGTGATCTTTCTTTTGTGCTGCAGCCAAAGAAGAGATTTGGCTAAACCCATGGCTGTTGCCATTCTCTGTGTACTGTTGCAGTGTGTATTGAATAGTATGTTTTTATTTTGAAGAAAATGAGTGCTTTAGGCTGTTCAAAAAATATTTTATGTTGGTTTGTCCAAAAACTATCTTTTTCTTAACTGATGAAAGAATCCCTTCCACTATTTTATCCGTAGGAAGATGACAGATGATTCTTGCTTTTATCGTTTCCGGTGTGAAGATCTACCAGAGAATCCCATATTGGGAAAGGAGAATATGAATATGGGAAGTTACGATTTCTGATTATCAGAAGATAAGGCTGAATGATGTTAATCAAGGGCCTCCTCTACACAACTCTTTCCATATGTTACATCATTAAACCCTCACAACAATTGGATGAGGGTAGTATTTTTACTTCCATCTCATAGTCAAACCATTAAAGCCATGAAGTGAGAAACTCGGCATTGAATTCAGGGAGGTCCACGTCGAAGATTTGTTTCTCCAGGAAATGTTCAAGTGGAAAATGTCTCTGAAACACGCTTTGGAATCTGTAATGGGTTAATATGAAAATAGGCCTCCATTTAAACTTGGGAGATGATCAAGTTCAGAGCCTTCCTCCCTGCCGGAAGGAACAGAGGCCAGCGCTGAGCACTCATGCTGCAGAAAAGCTCAGACAATAGCGTGTGGGGGTTTCTCCTTGGGGAGCCAGGGCCCATCTGCCACTTAGATTTGCTCAGAGACAGAAAATCCGTTTGCCAGGGAGCCCTTTAAAGCCTTCTGTTAGTGAAGCCAAGAACAGTGAGTGTTGGGGATAGAAGATGCCCTAAAAACCATCTCTTGCATCACCAGCATGGAAGGTAAATGGCCCTGCTTGTGGCCAGGGATTTTTGTAGGACCAGGCTTCTGCTGATGGCATGGCGCCTGGCTCGGTGCCCCTGGGGCCTGCTGCTCCAAGCTTCCTGCTTTCTTCCTGCTGTCGCCACTTCCTCTCCTGAACTTCTCTTTATTTTTTTCTCTGTTTCTTAAATTCTTGTTCTTTTTATTTTCTCTGATCCTTCCATTTCTAGTCCTCTTTTACTTTTCTTCTCCTATATTGTATTTTACTCTCCTTTTTTTCTCCTTTTGTTCTATTATTTAAAGAATTTTCTCCTGTACCTCTTCCTAGTTCTTTCTGGGGAACCTACACTTACTTCTACTTTCTGGCTAATTTTCCCTTTGAGCCAAATACTCTCTTCCAGACCCAGAATGTCCTGGTGCCTGGGAAATATTCTGAAAGAGGTCACAGAAAAATGTATAACTTTTAAAGAGGATGGGATGCAAGCAATAAAAATGGCCATTTGCCTGAAAGGTTCTTAGCTTATTATATCATGTGGTCATTATAGTTATTTTGATGGAGCTTCAAATTTGAAAAATTGAAGTAACTTTTTTCTCTTTGAGCTATTTACAAAGAGAAATTGTTCTCTGAGTAAAATTCATATTACTAGTGAACCAGCAGATACGCACCTTCTACAGGTAAAAGCCTATAGATGGAGATAGTGTGAAGAAAGATACCAAGTCCTTACCTCCAAGAAATGGAAAGTCTAATGACAGGAAATAATAATAAATACATCAAGCCTGGGGATTTAGCTCAGTGGCATAAGCGCCTACCTTGCAAGCAGGCAGTCGTGAGTTCGATCCCTGGTACTGATAAAAAAAATAATAATAATAGTAAATACATCACAGAAGGATGTACTGTCGCTTTAGGCACCAAGAATGTTATAAAGAAAATAAATTGGTTAATATGATAGAACTGGGCTGGGGATTTAGCTCAGCAGCATAAGTGCCTTCCTTGCAAACGCACAGTCGCACAGTGGTAAATTCAATCCCCAGTACCACAAAAAAAAAAAAAAAGTAGACCTGATAAAGCTGGCAGACCTGGTGTTATTTTAACCCAAATGTCAGGGAAGTTTTCCTATGGTATATGACACTCAAATAGAGCCCTAAGTGCTAAGAAGTAGACACAAGAAGATCAAGAGAGAAAACAAGTGTAAATGATCTGTGACAGAATAAGTTAGAGGCATTAAGAAAGCTAGTAAGTCTCAAGAACAGTGAAGAAAAGCAGAGCAGGAGGATTTAAGATCAGAAGCATCAGCAAATTCAGATCACAAGAGCCCTTGCAGGTCATTCTAATAGTTCAAATTCTATTCACATTGTAAAGCTTGGCACTTGAAGTTTTATATTGTTTACTGGTAGAGACAGATACTAATTTGTAGCTTTGGCTGAGCTGTTTTCAGAGTAGATCCATGAGAAATTGTAAGAAACCAAAGGCCTTCAAACTCTAAGCCTAAAATTCTTGGACCTCCTCCTCTTACCTAGATAGTTGGCATCATGTTTGGATCTGAATCACTGAGGTGATATTTAGGTTAAATCCAATTGGCTCCATTATTCAGAGGGTTTCCCTTTGGGACAACCTTTCAGACAGAGACACAAACAACTCTCTTCCACTGGGACTGGGGAGAGAGATAGAAAGGTGGCAGATTTAGAAATTTCTGAGACAGATGCTTTAACTTTCTAGAATATTTTATGGATATTGAAAAATTATCTAGAATTTAAATAATTCTCACCAGAAGAATGCTTTGTTTATACAATTATATTGCAAGTTGGAAGATAATTTAAAAATATTATAGCATTACTGGGTTATTCCTTTATTTAAAAGAGCTGGAAAGCACAGGTAAAATAATTTTCTTTCGCCTGATTAGGAACCCTGGTGGGTCACCTAAATTCCAACTGTTCCTGACAGGAATTGTAAGCAAATTTTTAGAACCTGCATAATTTCTATACAATATCTCTGAAAATCACTTGTTTCTAAAACAAACAATTTGACCTAAGTACAGAGTGAATGAGTGTGTAAAAAGAGGGGTTCGGAATTGTGTTAAAAGGAATTCAGTCATTCCAAACTTCAAAATCTTTTGAAATTGAACTCAAATACAGTACTTTTTAATTATTATTGGTTAAAATTTCAAAGTTATACCAATATCCAGAAATAGGTAATTGGGAGCAATAGTGGACAGAATCCTGCTAACCTGGCTCTGTACAACCACCCCGCTCCCAGAGGACATACCGAGGTGCTGCTCCAGTGAACTGCAGACTCCAGAGACCCACTTCAAACTGTGAGGCTTCAAAATAAGGTTTTAAAAAGTAAATTAATCGTGGACATTATTTGGAAATTATCATTTAGAAGATAAATGTTGTGTGGCTTAAATATTTTATAAACTAAAATGAAATAGAACATTGTCTTATGAATACAATGAGAGGTGATGATGACCAATCCTTTCTGTGACTAGATTATGGACCGACTTTTTGTTGATCCCCTAAATAATACACATAATCTGTCCTACAGTCAGTATGACTGCAGTTATCTCTACTTATTGTGAAGATCACTTTTATAGGATTGGGCGATAATGACCATTTTTCTGACATGGACACAGTAGCAGAGAAAGTTCATAAATTTGTGCTTTTCAAAATGTACTTCAGAGATCACAGATGATTCTTTTGGAGGAAAAGGATAAAAGCAAAGGAAAAGGGAAGGAGACTGTTTATCTCTAGCCCATTCTATTTCCCCCTTTATCTTCAACTATGGCAGCTCTCTTTTGGGGTTCTATGTAAAGTTTTTAAATTCATTCTAAAAAATAGCGCCTTGGCTAACAATTTGGAATAATGTCTGCCTTTAATAATTACTCGTGAATCTTACCCTACCCTCTGTGAATACATTATTTCACAATCCTTCCTCTAGCACTAAAATTAGTATAAGAAGAGGAAAGAAATAATTTTTGTCTATACACCAGAGGTCAGAAGAGCTGGCAGGAGCTGCAAATCATCTGAACCTTGAATTTATCTCTGAAAAGAGAAAAATAATTCGGTTCATTCAAGATATAACTGTATCCATCTCTTGAGGGTTTTTCTATTTCTAACTGAATACCAGGTACAATTCTAAAGTTTACCTTACAGTAATGAAATGCAAATGTGAGAAGTAGTTCTTACAATATCACATACAGATATATACTTGGGAGTTTTTATAAATGGATATTTGTCTGCTTTTATATTGAAACATTCTTTGGGAGTCGATAATTACCATTCTAGTATTCTAGAGTTACCCAAAGTAGAATTAATTAAACTGTTAAAAGATATTGATTTGAGATATTCCAGTGCTGGTTTACACTGGCTATGAAAAAGTGGTTAACCTCTCTTCCCAACTGCTTGCTTGGTGGTAATGCACCAGTGGCCTGAAATCAATCATGATGAATATTTACACCATAGGGATTGGCAAGCTCTGTACTTTTTTAGTTTTGTGTGTTGGAGTCCCAGTTTAACAGGATATAATCACACGTGTATGATAAAATTATCATGAATAATTCATGTTTGGGTGGATTGCTTGTTTTCTACACTATATGTGTGTGTGATCATCATATACATCAGAGAAACTGGCCAGGTCCTAACTTGAATACAGGGCAAGATTAAAAGGACGTCACGTTCTTCTATGAACTTGTTAATATTTACATCACAGGTTAAAAGGGGAAAAAGGAAGAAAACAAAAATTCTTCTACTGTCGCTTTGCCTTGAAAAAAGATGGAATTGCATCAATAGGGAGCACACTGCATCACATTGCAGAAAGTCTGGGTTTTCCTAACTCTTTAATTAGAATGTAGAGTTTCACAATGCAATACCCTTTTTATCAAATACATGAGAGTTACTTTAAATTGCAGTATATGTATGCAGAATAACCTCTTTAGTTTGCTATTCTATTATGGTCTATAGTCTAAACAGCTCACAGGCTGCGAATAACAAGCAACAGGAGTGGGAAAGCCGTGTTCTGGTCTCTATCCCAGTGCTCTTGGCTTGGGAAGGCACTAACACAGCATCCTATAGAGGGCCAGCAGCAGGTTCAGAAGACGCATACACAGTTTGAAAAGATTACTTAAATGTGTCAGATGAGGGAAACGAGCCAACAGACCTGGCAAACTTTTCTTTCCCTGGGTGTACCTGTCACACACTGGCAAGAGCCAGCCACGGGTCACTTATTCATGGGGCTGAAATGAAATTAATCACCTTCTTTTGGAAAAGAGCAGCCTTGCCTTCCTCTAGTTCTCAATATGTTTCTAGGCATAATGTAAAACGCTCACATTGGTCTGTGAAATCCTAAATGGTTTGAATTCTGGCAGGCACACAGAAGACTTATGGCCCCAAGAAACAACAGTACCCTCCAATAAGCTTCCAAATTAGTGGAAAGGTTAATGGCACCACAGCTTTTAGCACTAGATGCTGCATTGTCAAACTCTGCTAGAAATAATGATTTTAAGATCCTCTGTCTAGTATTTTCTGTTTTATCAAAAAGAGTAAATTCACACGCAAAATACCTAAAGAATTTGCCTACCCCAAGTTTTAAAGTTAAAACTAATCTTCTAGGTCAGTTTCACATTTTCTCTAGTGCATAATTCAATTCACTCATTATTAATTCATTCATCAAATAATTAACAGCTTCCTAGCTCTAGATCATTGTCATACATGCAATCGACTAAACAGATTGTGAGCTACTTTTCCTACAGGGGTTAATTTTTAAGTAGCTGTTGATGAAATACGATTTCAATTAGTTGTATTAATTCATTATGTACTGCAAACATGTTCTAGTAAAATTTTTATTTTAAAAAAGCAAAACAAAAAGGATAAAAATGATATAGAATTTGTATTAACTAATGTTAATTTCTTTCTAATAAAATTTTAAAAAATCATTTGTATTAATTTAAATTAAAGGTGGTTTTATCTCTTTTTCTTAGATACATTTTGTCACTCAGGACTTAGATGAGAGGACCGCTACATCAAGAAGTCTCATTTTAATTACACTAAGCAGAATTTTAACTTTTAAACACTATGAATTTCATCACAGATAACTTTAATCCCAACTACTAATTCTCCCGTCCTATTGTAGAGCCAGCTGGCAGGAAAAGGACTATTACTATCCACACATACCCTCAAAGAGAGAGAAGATGTTCCTGGAGCCAATTCCATTCCTTTTTGTCTAGAGAATGAAGAAAGTGTGCAATTCATAATTCTTCTAGACAGCCTAAGCTACCAGCAGACCTTTTCCTCCATATTAAATGTGTGTGTATGTGTGTGTGTCAGTCTGTGAATGTGTGTCACTGTATGTATATAAGCATTGGAATTGATAGAAAGGTATACTACAGACATGAATACAATGCTTAAGCATATTAAAGTATGGCCTCCATTTTCTCATACCCTAGAGTACAGAGGACATTTACATAGATTTGTTTTTAACCTCCACTTTCTCTAAAAGACCCACACATCCAACATGCCCCATAAGAGACCATTTTGGGAGAACTGTTTCTGGTCTCTCTTTCTAACTTCTGACTTTCTACCCAACTCATATTGGGGGTGCAAAGAAAAACTAAACTTCATCAATTACTTCACTGTACATGCTGCCAGGAAAAAAACCTTGTAATGAGCATGATTTATAGCCAAACAGCCTTCCTGCTGTAACTTTCTTTTCTGCTGAAACACATTAAGAGCTGGAATTTCCCTTCCTCACCAGTAGAATGTTATGAGATGATCAAATTGAAATATGTATCTTCCACCACCTCTGAATTTATGATTTGAATCTCAAAAGTAGGTATGAGAATTGCTGTAATCATATCTAATTTGTATAGCATAGAAGCCAGCAATGGAAAACCTTCAGAGCTTTCAATTATACCAACAGCCCGCTGGGTATGTGTGCATAGGCTCACCACCACTGATCTAAGCCATGTATACTCAGGACGTTTGGGAGCGCATTTCCAAATGCTTAGGCCTGTTGCCAACTCACTAATGATCAATCCACTATTGTGAATATAAGTTAATATTCACAATATTAAGAATTAGAAGACCACTGTATTACATATAATGTATATAGTGTTTATAATAAGCGTACTGACAAAATTTTAACAAGTTTATCAGATGCTTGATAGACAACATATCTTGTACTCTATTCAAGAATCCAAGGTTTTATGAACTCCCAAAGCTGCTGTACTTACTTAATGCTTTAATTACTTAGAGAAATCAGGTGGATATAAAAATAAGCTAAAACTTAATTAAGTCTGGGAAGAAAGTGAAACTATTCACAGCAAATTATGGTAAACATAGCTATAGATTTCTATCTAGTGAGTTAGGAAGACTGTAACTCAGGAGTTTGAACATATATCAAAATATCATTTTCACCTCTCTTTTCAATCTCAAGAGCAGATGCCTCTGGAAAACTTTGTTGTCTGTTTGCCTTCCAGTATAACCATAAACGTTCTTAGGACTGACTTCACTGAGATTCCTTTCCCCTCTATTCAAACCTCTCTATTGTTAGTTTTTTCAGCCCTCTTCAAATCCACTCTCCAGTTGACAAGAAAGTAAGAGGCTACAGGAAAGTCACAATTGTTGTGTCTGAGGCCATACGTTCCACATATCAGACATGCCTCTCTGGCCTACCATTGTGAACTGGTCTAATGTTGTGAACCTGCAAGGCATAGAAGACCTACTCAAACACACTTTATAGATATTTGAAATAAATCCAGAGTAGACAGGATGACCTAATGCCATTCATATAATCTGATCAAGATCTCACATCTCTTGATTTCACTTGGTGTTTTAATCTATCACGCTAAAAATGAAAACTATTATGCCATATAAATCCTGTAATTTATTGGATTTATTAAAATCTGATACTATTCGTTATCTTTCTGAAAACATTCTATGGCAGTTCATTAAATGCAAAACTAAATATTTTCCTAGAGAGCCAAGATTTATTGCTGAGATCAATAATTGATGAAACTTCTTTTAAGAAAAGTAATAGTTCAAAATTTCAGCCGGGTGTTTAGCTCAGCTGCCTAAGTGCCTGCTTGGCAAATGCAAGGTCATGAGTTCAATCCCCAGCACCAAAAAAAAATAAATAAATAAAAATTTCTTGATTGTCTGAATTGGAATAAAGTTTAGCATTTAATTATTTTCTTTCAATATAAAGTTCAAACATTATTAAGAAAGATGGGAAACATTACATATCCTTTCCAACCTTCCTCACCTTCCTATTTATGCTGTAAACTGACATAACCTTGAGAAACCTTCAAGGCCACAGTCCTTGCAG